AGCCTTTGAACCCTCAGTGCCTTGCACTGGGCAAATAAGAGGTATACAAATAATACTTAATGAGTAAATGCCCCTCGCACCAAGGGGCCACCTGAAACAAAGCTAGTGGCCAAGATCTCTAAGCTCTGACTCAAAACTGTGCATCTGTGTCGACACATAGACACACAGAGTGCTGGGAGAAGCTAGAAGTGCTCAGTTTCTTTAGTCATCTGTGAAGCAGGCCCCTTTCCTAGATTCACTGGAAAGAACCCCAGCTGCAGAGAGGGCCTGGAAACCCACACATTGGAGCAAGCCTGGGGTGCTGAGGAAACACTAAGTGGACTAACTTCCCCTGGAAAAAGGACAGCCAGACCGGAAACACACAGGCAGGAATGGGTAGCTGTCAAGATCCGGACATGTGCTTTTGCCCTTCTCCAGCTAGAAGTAACCAGCCAGCACAAAGGAAGCCTTATGACAGCCGCCGGTGCCTTGCAGCACGGTGGGCCTAGCCTTCAGAGCAGGCTTCTTGGTGTACTCCTCTTCTCACCAGGTGAACACCCACTGCCACAGAGCTCACCCCAGCCAGCTGGTCCCAACACCACCTCCCCTCTGAGCCCATTTGTCCCATCAAGGGGCTCACCTGTTTTCTTCTGTCAACATTCCCCTTCATTAAAGGTACCACTTGGAATTTTCTTGAGTGTTTTAAGCTTCCCTGAATGCAAGGGCCCATTTTCATTCACCATCTCAAGAGTATCTACTGATAATTCAGGCAAAGATGGAAGGCTGGGGTTCTAAAGTCTCCACAGACATACTGGGCTCACACTCACAGAGCACCTCCACGGGAGTTTCCACCTGACACTGTGCCCAAAGTAAACCTCAACTAGGCAACCTTGCCAAATGCAGGTCTAAACCATATTATCACAGAAGGCACCATATAAAAAGTATAGAGCCATGGCCTAGAGAGGCTCAGGCTGTCTTGGGAAGCAAAAGCTGACGAGGACTAATGCGCCATCTAAGCATGAAGATTTTTTCCTCACAGAGGGGCAATGCAAACACAGGGAAAGCAGGGGCCTGAGACCCACTGGCAGCATAACCCAAGAGCAGTCACCTTGGGGTGTCAGCCAGACCTGACTGAGGGCCGGGCCCAGCTGAGGTACTGGCACGTACTGGCACTAATCACTCACTCCCTGTATTTCTATTTCCTCATCTATAAAATGGGTGGTACACCTGACTACCCTTCAGGACTCTTTGAGGATTAGCCAAGAAAAAGGTAAAACATCTCTTTAGCACTCAAGAGGAAACCTATAATTGCTTTTTATTCATTTAAAGTCTGCAACAAAGCCAAAGCCAAATACCAATCCAATTCCTGTCACACAGCCACACAACCAAATGGCACCAAAGCACTTTCCCACCCCTCTTTCGAGCCAAACTCCAGCTCTAGAAATCAATAGGTGCCAGCCTCACTCCACAAGTGACCAAGTGAGAGGGCACAGGGTTAGGACAGAATGAGGTCTCACACATGAGTGCTGCACACTTTCATTGAACCACACTGTCTATCCTTCAGGCACACAGACACCCTGAGGGTAGCGGAGCATTCCTCTTTGGCCAGGCTTCAGACACTGTATGGTACACTGGCAAGGCTAGCAGGAAAAGGCCAGACACCTGAGGCACCTGGGCAAGAGGCCAGATGGCAGGGGACCCAGCTGGCAACTGAATGCTCCTCAGAGTCTGCAGAAGGAGGCTGCAGAGATCAGAACCCACCAAAGCAGTGAGCCATGAATGGGGCAGGGCTTCAATGGGAGGCTTTTCCTGCAAGGTCTAAACTCGACACATGCATCTATTAGCCTTTTACTCAGGTTCTTTCAATCCACACCCCCAAAATCAAAGGGCTATACACATTCTGCCTGCCCTTCATGCCTCTCAACTCTGTTAACCAACCAGAACACTGAATTTGCACACCTCTGGCTGATTCACCCTGGAGGGTTAGGGGAATAAAGTCCTTTATATTCCTGCCTTCAGCCCCCAAAGATCTGAGTGAGACACAATGAACTAGCTGGTCCCCTCTCCACACCCCTTCATTCTGCTCTGGCAAGAAAGTCACACCAAGGAGGCAAATGTACAGAACTCCAAACACTTTCTTTACAGAAACACTGTTCTACATGACAGGCAGGTGAGTGGGTAGATGGGGCAAAACAAAACCGTTTCCTCCCTTTTTCTGAGTAGCAAGCTAAATGAAATGTGAACTTGGTCTCTGTTCTCCTTCCTGCACACTTCCCTTCTCTTAGCATCCACATGAGACCTCCCTCAACATTCCCAGTCCAGGGTCTAGGAGGGCAGGCATAGTCTATCATTATTATTAGTAGTAAGTGCTACTTAATAAACACAATGTGTCAGGCACTATTAATATGTCAGTTTACATTTATTAAATATCTACAGTATCAAGCACTGATGCTTTACGCTAACTTACATCAACTATCTCACTTAACCACCAAAGCAATCAAATTTGGTGGATATACAATTACCTCCATTTTACAGATGAGAAAACCAAGGCTCAGAAGCTGGCCAGGTAATGCACAACTAGTATATGGGCTTCAAATGCAGATTTGTCTTCAACTACTGTGCTATACTTATTGCCTGCTCATCACATGCGTGGCTTAAAATGCAGCTGTTGTTACCCAAGAGATCTTTATCTGGGAACTTCCAGCTGGGGACACCACCTCAGCATAGGGAGTACCACAAAAACAGGAAGGAGGCCATGCCTGGAGTTTGATGGATGATGTTTCCAAGGCTATCTCATCTCTTTGCACTATCTATCCTTCTTCCACATTGAAACTGACAGTCTCTAAAATCACTAAAATGTTCTCCCAAGAGCCAAAGGGGGCACTGAGGAAGGAGGATGCCATTAAGTTCAGTAGCTCTGTCAGATCTGGATTTTACTGTGGAGGATGGCTGCCTCACCACAAGACTTTCCTCCCTCCCCATCTCCTTACCCATCTATAGCATATACACCATACCCAAGAAGGTCTGTGAGATCTTCTTGTGGCTTGTCACTTCCTGACCCCCCTCCTCCACTAGGACCTGGTTCTGAGCCTGGGTCTCTTGACACCAGACTCTGGAAGGTCCTTGCAGGAAGCAACCCACAGCCTGGAGTGCATACACACCATTTCTTCATGCTGGGAGGTATCGGGGTGGAGGGCAGAGCTTAGTGTCCATAGGGTCACAAACCAGCACATGGTAAGTGTAATATTGCTGGAAAAGATCTGGGGTTTCTCAAAATCCCCCAACTCCCTCCTCCCACCACAGACTTGTGCAAAAGCTGCCAAGATCAGGCCTGGGAAGGCAAAGAGGCAGGAAACCAAGAGGAGCCGCTCCCGGCTCCCTGGGGCCACCGGACATAGGACACAAAGGGCTAGACCCCAAACTGACGGCACACTTCTAAGAAGAGTACCTGACTCTGAGGCACTGGGGCTAGACTTTCTAGGGCCAAGCTCTTGGTTACATGGTTGTAGGGGCAAGCGGAATCTGGAGCCTTCACCAAGAGCCCCAGCTCTGGCTTTGAGTGTCTACCCACCCACACAGGCCTCCAAAACTCAGCTTTGAGACAAAAGAAGCGTGAGGCTGTGTGTGTCTGTGTGTGTGTGTGTGGGCGGGTGTTGGTTGGGGAGGGATAGCCAATGTCTTCTCTCAGGCTTTTCCAACCTAAACAGGACCACCTTCCTCCCAGTTCCCAAGAGGCAGATGAGTAGGCTCAGCTCTGCTCCAAAACCAGCCCTACTCCAACATCTGCCTAAGTTCTGGGAAACCAAAGGTTCCTTTGCAAATAAGCCCCTGGCCTGGGGGCCCAGAGCTGTACACAGACTGTGCTTTCTGGAGAAACAGCGGTGGGTGGGGAACATCTAGCCTCGGGCTGGGTGGGAGCCACTGTCTAGGCTCCCAAGGCCGTCACCACCACTTCTGGGGGACTGGGGCCCGAAGCCCACCACGATGGTGTCCAATCCCCAAGGACTTTTAGGCCTCGAGGCAAAGCACCTTGGAACATTCGCCTTTCTTGGGGGAAGGGGTGTCCTGTCAAGTGATCGAGGACCCAATGCCCCCCCTGCAGACCCCGGGAAGACAAGCGGGGGCGGGGTCCGGGAGGAAGAGAGAGAGGGCGGGCTCGAAAGTTTGCCCAAGTGTGCAGCGGCCGGCTGGGCGCCGGGAGCCGGCGGTCCCCGCGCGCTCAGCGGGCCTGAGCGAGGAGGGGGCGCACTTACTAGCCCCCTCGATCTTGTCGGCGCCGCGGCTCCACGTGATCTGGCGCGTCTCCAGTTTGACCTGGAAGGTCTTCCGCTCGGGCCGCTGCGACTTCTTGGAGTAGAACAAAGTCATGACGGTGCCCACCTCGAGGCTGCGGCAGAGGTGCAGCACCTCGGCGTCCGAGGGCGCGCCGGGCCCGCAGCCATTGGCGCATGGGGACGCGGCACCAGCCATGACTCCGATGCGGGGGAAGGCTGCAGCGCAGGCCCGCCGAGCCCGGGGAAAGGAGGCTGCTGGGGCGGCCGGCGAGCGGGACCCGGCGGCGGCTCCTGCGGGCGGACACGGGGCGGGGCCTGAGTGCGGGGCGGGGCCTCTAGAGGTCCCGCCCCGCGTCGGGAACAAAGGCACCCGCGGGGAGGACCCCCGCCCGCCGCCGCCGCGCCTGCGCCCCGCGACCCCCAGACAGGCCTTAGGCGGGGCGCGGGCGCAATGGCGGCGGGGGCGCGCGCCACTCCCGCCAGCCCGTTCGCGCCATCGTCCCGCAAAGCTTCCTCGCTCGGCCCCAGCACGGCGCGGGACCACGGACGGCCCCATCACGCACGGCAGCCCCGCCCACAGGCTGCGGCCCGCGGCCGCCAGTCAGTCGGGCGCGCGCGCACCGGCGGCTGCTCCCCGCTGTCCTGCACAGGCCCCCGCCGCAGCTCTCGCACCTTGCGCGCCTCCCGCGAGGTGGCCGGGAATGAGCGTAAGGGTGCCGCGAGTCCCCCGGACCCTCCAGGACAAACCCGGCTACCTGGGCGGGTTGCCCGGCGGAGGGAGCCAGGCCGGGCCAGGCCGCCTCACACCCGCGGTGGCGGCGGCGGCGGGGGCGGGCCCTCCGCGCGCCCTCTCCGGGGAGGTACGGGGGCGGGGCCTCCTGCGGATTGGCGGGTGGGCCATGATAGACAGCAGGTTCGCCCCGCCCCCTCCCTTGGTCTGTCTGGGATATCCCGCGGGCCGCTCGTGCGACGGTCAGGTCCGCGTCAGTCTCTCCCAGTGGCCTTCAAGGATACGCTCTCTCAGAGAAGTCTCCAAGATGAACATCTCCTTGCAGGCCTTTTAGTCACGCGGCCGCACTTGCTGGAGGCTTGATTTTTGCAGCCCTCGGTGGCCTTCGCTTCCGCTTGCCCTACTGCTCGCCCCACTTCACATCCAGGCGTCGAGATTCAGGCTCTGCTTCCCCTCACCCCTCCTGTAAATTTGTCCTGTTCTCCCGGCCTTGTTTTCCACCTTCTTCTGTGCCCATTACCTCTTGGTCTCAGAACCTTCCTTTCCTCTGGAGTCAATGCTGGGTCGGTTCCCAAGGCATCTTCACCTTTGTCGTGGCTTTGCCCTCCACATAGACACAGCGGACACAGCGGACTCTCCCACCTAGATCTCTCCTGCGCTCGGGTCCTGGCATCCAACCAGCTGCTCCCCATCTCCACTTAACGTACCGTCTCACCTGTCCTCCACAAACCAATCCTTGCAGCCTCTGCCTTCTCAGAACATTGCTTTAAACTCCTCGAAGTTTGGAGGAGGCCCAGATCCTTGCAGATAACCTGGCTTCCTTTCTCGGCCTCACCCCCAGTCTGTCCATGGAGGCCTGTCCTCAAATCTCACTCTACCCATGAGCACAAGGCCCATATTTTTTCACCCATATTATTTACCTCCTTGGTCTTGCCTGCATGTGTGCTTCAGGCTTTACTCTCTAAAATGAAAATAGATCCTGACCTATGTGCGTGAGTTCCCATTGTGAATCTGCAGTCCCTACTTGGCCCAGCTGGTCCTGTCTAATGGGCTCCCTGCCTTCGTTTCTCACCACTGACCCTTCATTCTCCATTCTGCAAGCAAAAGGTCATTTTGTGGTTATTGAATAATTCATGTTCTGTCTTCCTGAAGCCACTCCCTGAAGAGCACTGCCAAAACTGAGGATACCTATGGTCATGGTGGAGCCTGCCTGACCCACGTTGAACCAAGCAGTTGGGTGACTGCCAGGACAACTTACTGCATTTCAGAGGTGAGTAGCCCAAAGAGAATCCAGCTGATCCCAGAGAAAGATCCAGGATTCTTGGGATTTGAAGGACTAGAATTTGTGAAAATGTAAGAGTTTGTGCTCAGGCAAGCCATCTGGCTAGACAGTGGTTAGTACCCAGCAACTCTGACTTTCCCTTGCTGTACAGGTACCCACTGTGCATGTGCACATTTTGATTACCTCCAGTGTGGCTCCCCAAAAGCTCAGAAGTGTCCTCAAGGCACTTTGTCCTAAGGGAAGATAGGGTAGCTGAGATGGACTGCCACCTAGTGATAGGCCCTCAAAGTGGGAGGAAAGGAACTAGAATGTACCCAATGACTGGCCCTGTGCTACAAGGCACGTGGTCACAGCTGAATCTCATTATTATCCTCTAAACAGGAATTTTACTGAGGATGAAAATTTACTGAGGATGAAACAGAGATTCAGAGTTCTACGACTCACCCCAAGAACCACATAACTAACAAATGGAAATTTGAACCCAAATCTGACTTCATCCATTTCTGTCTCACAGCAGAGTCCTGGCTTAGGTGAGTCCTGGTGGTCAGTAGTCAGCATGGAAGCTAGCTGGCTAATATGCAGGGGTGAAGGAAGGCATGCCCACCGCTGACCCTGGGCACAGGGAACCCGGCATAACACCAGTGCTCACAGAGCATGGCGGATTGGTTTAAAGTGGTGCCGCCCCTGTCTACAGCCTGGTATGTAAAGACAATTGGGATGAGGACTAAAGATAAAACATACTAGGAGACTGACTTCAAATGGAGTATAAGAAGGCTTCTTTGGGTCTTTAGAATTCAGCAGAGGCCTTAAGGATGTGAATAGATGGTCAGGTGCATTACTAAGGGTGGGCTGGAGGAAAACACTTTCCAGGCTGGGGTAAAAGCATGTACAAAGGTCCGGAGGCCAGAAAGAGGTGGTTGAGTTTAGGCCGAGAAAGGGCTGGAGTTTACCTAGTGACAGGAAGCATAGGGAAGGTGATGGGAAGCATAGGGAGGGTGATGGGGCTGAGCTTTCTCTGCCAATGCTTGCAGCCTGCAGGCTCTAATGCACTTTCAGACTGTTTGTCTATTTTCTCGGAATTTCCCAACATGACCCCAAAAGTTCCTTGCTTTTACTCTTGCCCCTGAAGCTAGACCCCCTAGGGGCTCCAGAAATCTCGACCAATAGGAGTTTGTTGCCAAGCCTACAGTCGGCAACAGGGCCCTATTTCTCTTTGGGATTTCTGGGCTAGCATTCCAGGCCTCAGGAACCTCCTTCCACCAAAGGGGATTCAGGAAAAGCAGGGCACACAGAGGGTGTGGCTGGTGTGGGCTTCCCCCAGCTCAGCATATATATGGGTGCGTAGGTGTTACTGGCAACATGTGCAGCTGCACTGTCTGGGAGGAACAGCCCGGTACCCACACAAAGCACACGCCTGTGACATCACCCAGACCATCCCTGCTTGGGCCTATTTCTGTGCACACTCATGTTTCAGCATGCCCTGGCCTACGCCATTCTTGTGCCTGGAGTGTGGGGGACTGGGAAAAATCCAGTCCAACTACAGCCCAACTTCCACACTCTGGCCTGTGGGCTTGTCTTTGCAGCTGTTTTATTTTATAACAACTTAGAACAGTGGTTGGCATATTGTGAATGCTTTGTAACTAATTTATCCATGTTGGCTCATTTCTTCCTCATTACAGCTCTGGGAATTTTCTTATTCCCACTTTACAGAAGAAAATCTGAGGCCCAGAGAGATGAAAAGACATGTACATGGTCACACAGCCAATAGGTGGCAGAGATAAGATTCCAAGCCAGGCATTCTGGCTCCAGAGTCAGTGCTGTATCACCTCCCATGTACGAACACTGTCAATATCCTCACCCCTTTCCCAAGCACTTCTATCTGATGCATTTTCCTTTTTTATTTTGTTCAGTGTTGTCCAGGTTGGGCTCTTTGGGAAGTGGACTCTATGACAGGTTAGCGGGCAGAGTGTTGATTAGGGAATGCCCCTGGGATCAGCGCTGTGGAGGGGACAGGAAGGAAACAGAAGTAGGCACAGGGGGAAATTAAGCTGTGATGCAGGCTTGATGACAGCCTCAGCCAACCCCCAGGGAGCTCTGTTATCGGCACTGAAATGGATTTGGGTTGTCTGGGAAGAGTGCAGCTTTGGCCACAGGGCTCTGTGCAACTGAGGTGATCACAGGGGATTGGCAGCTGAGGTTTCCTGCCACCAGCTCTCCCAGCAGTTGGGGCAACAAGGCCTTCCTGGAAGGGGTGTCTCCTTGGTGGTACATCACTATGCTCACCACTAATGTATTTCTTTCCTGCCACTTAAAAAAAATCAGAATACCTTAAACAAAAATATTCTACTGTAAAAATAGGATATGAGCCAGGTACGATGACGCATGCCTGTAATCCAAGTGGCTCATGAGGCTGAGTCAGGAGGATCGTGAGTTCAAAGCCAGCATCAGCAACAGTGAGGTGCTAACTTAGTGAGACCCTGTGTCTAAATAAAATACAAAATAGGACTGGGGATGTGATGTGGCTCAGTGGTTGAGTGCCCCTGAGTTCAATCCCTGGCGCATACACACAAAAAGGGATATGAGATTCTAAAAGGGGGACTATAATATGGCTAATAAGGGTTGATGCAGCTGTGACAGCATCAAATATGGCTGAGCTTCCTGGCATCCAAAGCAGTTACACTTTCTATTCTGATTTCTTGGGCAAGAATTTTTTTTCCTGAGATTAAATTATAAGACAAGTTTCTCACGTGGATACTTATTTGGCTGAAACAGAAGACTCTTCTCAGTAGATTAATAGCAAATGCTAACGCAGTTTTCATTTGTTCTCTGTAATGATGGTGAATAAATATAGGAGGGGTAATTTAAAAGCATAGTTAAATGAAGCCCCTTCCACAGAGGAGGCATATTTACTGACTTGCAGTGTCCAATTTAATCCATGCATAAAACTGTGTTCGTTTTCTTTAAATTGTTCTTTTTACTCAGTTTCCTTGGGAGACATGCTAAGTAGCAGCACATGGCCAGTACTTCCTAAGCGTTCATCTTGATGTACCTTGAGCTTCACACCCTAACCTGCAATCTAGGCTCTTGACCTCTGGCCTCCAAATCTACCTATGGTTCCCACTTAGTCATTGGCTTCACAATTTTTTTTTTTTTAAATGCAGTGTTAGGGATCAAACCAAGGGCCTCACTCATGCCAAACAAGTGCCCTACCACTGAGCCACATGCCCAGCCTGTGCATCACTTTTCTGAGGTTATGTCTTCCTGCTTTTCTCCTCACCGGGTGTGTATTCACAGGCCCTCAAGAGCCCTGTTTACTCACTCCAGGCAAAATCATACCCAGCCCAGTGGCTCCCAGGGTTTCTGCTCTTTCCAGTCTTTGCTACCTTCTTGCTGTTTGGCCCCATTGAGGCTGTGCTTCATGCTACCTACTGTGATTGCTTCATAGAGGTCGAATTATGGAACTGAAGAATGAGAAGGGGAAACTGAGACCAGGGCAGACCTGCCCCTGCCTCCCCTTGTCTTCCAGCAGTCATCCCTGGTGCCACCTCTAGATTGCTTAGACAGCAGGGCTGAATCATACCAAGTTCCCACTCCTCCAGGAGTGGGTATAGAAATGCCAGCAGCACACACTAATTCCCTGTGATATAAGGGCATAAGAGCATAAGAGACACCTGGCCTTATCTAGACTTGGTGGCTGTGGGGATAGAGCAAAGTAAGAGATACTGTAAATGCCTAAAAGATATAGCCCCTTCAAACAGCAAACCAACACTCATTTTCAAAATAAGTTTAAGGTGTTTTGCAGGATTTTATTTTTGCAATTAAAATACTAACATTTTTAGAGATGTATGGTTAAAAGGTCCAGATGTAAAGCTATTCAGTGACATATACTTTAGATCACATTTTATTTAAAACAATTATTCATTTTTGCATATCAATTTCTAGCATATTTCCAGCAACTCTTCCATCAATCTTTGATTTCCATGTATTTTTTACTGAGAGCCTTTTTTTTTTTAAACGCATGCCTTTATTTTATTTATTTTTATTTGATGCTAAGGATCAAACCCAGTGCCTCACAGGTGCTAGGCAAGCACTCTGCCACTGAGCTACAGCCCCAGCCCCTGAGAGCCACTTTTTGAGTCATCTAATATATTTTCTCAAAACACATCACCTTCGCTGCCTTTTAAGTGGTTTGAGCGCACTTTGAAAAATCAATTTTATTGAGGAATACATGCAAAATGCACCTATTTTAAATGTAAAGTTTAATAAAGTTTGACAAATATATTTCCTTTGTGAACTCCACCCAATCCAGATGCAGAACTTTCCCTTACCCCAGATTTCCTCTTGCCCTTTGCAGCATCCCCCCTTCGCCCCCCCACTCTCATCAGGCAACCACTGGTTTACTTCCTGTCACTGCAGGTGAGTCTTGCCTATTCATAAACAGAATCGTAGAGTGATTCATCCATGTTGTTGCAGACAGGTGCTGTGATGCTGTCACTGGAAATTTTAAGTATTGTTACCTTCTGGTATACTGCTAAAACAGATTTTTCCCCCTCCATTTCTCCTGTAGCTATAAGTGATTTTCATAATAATCACTGTATCATTTTAAACATTTTATGTAGAATCTTAAATGTGCATAGACAGGGAAGTACGTATGGTGTGCTTCCATGGTCATCCAGCTTTGGCGGTGGTTATTGTTTTCTGTGGTGCTGGGGATGGAACCCAGGGCCTCACATATGCTGGACAAGGGCTGTACCACTAAATTATACCTCCAGCCCCAGGGAACTAGGCACACTTGTTTCATGCCAAACTTTACCCACTAAACCCCTCCCATGTTATTTTGACACAACCCTCAACTCTTTGTTATCCATAAATATTTGTATTTATAAAATATTGTTTTTAAAAAATATATACATAAGTACAAGATAATTACCAAGCCTAAAAAATTTTTAAAAAGTCAATTGCTATTTAGTGACTTTCAAAAGTCTTGTTTACATGGAATACTTGGGATTGGTGAGGAATGATTACCAAATCTATGTAAACTTCTTCACCTCCTTGTTTACTCGTTTTGTCAGGGGTCTACTTATAAGCATCTAAAACTAGCTTGACTGAGATCATTTCAGGGTAGTGTTTCTTCCAAAAAAGTGCTTTTCAGTTCAAGTTAAAAAGTGTCTCATTATATGAGGGAATTCTAAGGACTGAAATATGTCAACTTGTTATTTTCCCAGAAGACAATACTCCCTCGTCCCTATGGTGGAAATGCCCATATTCAGTGTTTATGCCATTTAGAAAGTCATTTTCTCAATTACTGGATGTGGGATTGAGACAAAGAAGTGAAGAATGGGGCTGCCTGGTTTCCAGGTTGGGGGTCTAGTAGAGGTAGTGCCTTTCGCTGAGGTAGGAAAGCCAGGCCTGACAGTAGTTCCAGAGTTGATGTTCAGGTGCCCCTGGATATCCCCTGCAGAGGTTCAATGTCTGGAGTTCAGGAGAAAGGCTGGAGGTAATCAGGAGCCATCACCCTTAATTGTGACTGATATCAAGAACAAGTAGGATAGGAGCCATATACCCTTAAGACCTGATGTTAGAGGTGACTCAGGAACAGCCTGATTGGAATAACGTAAAACCAGGAGGTGATGAGGTGGTAGCCATAAAGGCATTTTTAGAAGTGAGCAGTCGCATCATGTAAGATTCCTTTCATGTGAAGTGTCCCCAAAAGACAAATTTATAGATACATTATGGAAGCTGGATATGGGAATGCAGATGACTGTAAACAGGCATGAGGAATCTTCGTTGGGGGGATGGGAATGTTCTACAACTCATTGATGGTAATAGATGCACCAGTCAGAGTCACTAAAATGTCCTTGTAAACTTGATTTGCTGATTTTTTGATATGTAAAATGCTTCAGGAAGAATGTTTCAAAAAAGGGTCAGCAGCACCCAGTGCTAGAAAGAATTTAAGATGCAGAATGAAGGGCCCATTTATTGGTCACTTAGTCACTTGTGATTGTGGTCAAATTGCAGGGAGGGGAATGGAACAGACAAGGCAGGACAGATGCTAGTTGCAGTGGGTGCAGCAGATGACTCATGGCAGGTGCTTGTTTGTGAAACAAAGGAGAAACAGAGGTGGTGGTTGGAAAGGCTGAGAGTTGTGAAGTTTCTTTTTTCATTTTTTAATGTGTCAGCCTGAGGTAGACATGACAGCTTTTGGCAGGGAGCATGGACAAGACTTGCTGACCAGATGTGGAGGGGAGCACAGAGAGGAGTCATCTCCCAGAGGTATAGCTTAGGTAGCATGTGGGGGCCCACAGGGTTTCTTAGACTCTGCCCATCTGGCCTCTGCTCTTGAACGTGACTGGAAGTGAGATCTGCTGCATGGTTAGGCAAACGGGGAGGTTTGCTTCAGGCTCAAGCACCCTTCAAGGTCCTTTACATCTATCCCCCACCTCTCCTTATCTAGTTAGTTCTCATCCTGTGACCAGGTCAGCTTCCCAATTCCCGCCTCTGTTCTCCCAGGTCTGCTGACATTGCCTGGGATGCCCTTCATAGCTGTCTTGAGCAATGTCTAGTTGCTCTGTGCCTGACCTCATTAGACTTGTAAGGTCCTTTTCAAAAAGGTAGGCTCTACTTCCTGCTCAAGGTCTTCACCTGCAAGGCCTATTATACACGATTTCCAGTTGTCAACTAGTTAAGTCCTACTCAAGTCCCAAATCTTAAGGTCCACTTTCTTGTTACATAGCTACCAGCCATAGTGTGTGCACCATAGTTGTATACCAGAAGAGCCTGATGGTATTCACACTCTGTGGTCCAACTATCTCAACACTGCAAAATTTAAAAAATACTTGGTTACAATCTCTTGCTCCAAAGCAATGGTGGAGATACAGCCCCTTATTCCCTGGGGTGAGTACTGCCTTCCTTACTAGCCGGTGAACTACAGGCGGCCAATGATGCCAAAGTTTCTCAACTGTGGACCCAGCACCAGTCCTGTCCCCCAGCTCCAGGGAGAACCAACATCATCAAGGAAATGAATATGCTTGCTCATGCCAACAAGCTAGAGGGCCCAGGACCCTTTCACCAAGTGACCAATACTAACAACTCTGGCCTTCCTGTCCCCTTGACCTGGAGACCTCACCTTTCATTCTTAGTCCCAGTCTTAACTAACCTAGGATAATGCAAGAAAACAAATTGTATAGGGACTAGCATATACTTAGAGCAGTTAGAAGTGTTCACTGACTACTCCCTCATTCAACCAATCAATGCAGGGAGAAATCTTCATTCCACCTGGGAAGGGCTTGTAGGATCTGGTCCTCAGTCTGGCTCACTACTCTCTTTTCATCCTATCAGCTTAGCCACATGAACAAAGCCTAAGACAGATACCTCCTGCTTCTGGACAGTACACATGGAAAACACTCAAAAATCTGCCTCCCCAATACTTAGCTCCATCTTGCTCAACAGCATGGCTTCAGATAGTTCTTGCATGCCACCTGTTTTTGTGGATTTCCTACACTTTCCCTTTACTGGATGTGGGCTTTGTATGTCTTCCATTCCACTCCATACCCATTAAAAGTAGGACACATGAACCCCCTTCTAGGCCGGACCCAGCCCCATTAGCTCCGTGGGAGGAGAGTCACCCTTGCAGTTAGATCATATCCCATAAGAAGTCCCAGCCTCAGAGCCCCATATCTGGCCTGGGGTCCTCAGTAACAAAGAGGCAGACACAAAAAGTTTCCGTTAAGTTGTAGGAATTTATTTTAAATAACCTACAGTTGATTAAAAGGGAATTCATGATAAAAATAGAAGATACTTGAGGAAAGATGTGGGAAATGGACTCTGCACACACACTAAACTAACAATGCCTCTAAAACTAATGATTATAGCAAAAAATGTCTTCACATTAAAATTCTGCTTTTTATGTTTTTCCCCCATTTTTTACACAATTACACAAGAAAAAATAAAAGCCCTAACATCTTGATTATTTTTCCTTTTTTTGGACCAAATACTCATTTTCCTCTAAATTTATTGACTTGTGGAACTTTTTATACAATAAAATCTTTCAAGTGAAAGATCTGGGTTTAAAAAGAAAAAGATGGGTATCTAAAAGGGTACAGAGAATGCTCAGAACAAAGGATGATGGGAAAATGGTTTCAGTCACTGATTATTTCATTATCCTTAGACTCACTCACCCTTCATCCCTCCCCAACCCCAATCTACACGATCTTTAAGATCAAGAAAAAGGTTTAAATATTTTAAAATAATTAAAGAAATAAAAATTCACATTTAAAAAGGAACACTCAAGTCAGGAAATATTTTCCCATCATGCTTTTCTGTGAACAAGTGTCTGAACCAAAACACTGCCGATGTCAGGACTGCTTCAAGTTTAATGAAGACTGATTCCCATGACAATAGAGTGAAGACTCTAACAGGTGCGCTGGGTTTTTGTTCTACTTAATTTTAAATTCCTGAAATGGGGGAAAAGGGAGGGAGTTTAGGAATTTGTTTCTATTAAAATATAGAAGTTATTGCAAAACCCTAACTGTAAAAACGCACCAATATAATCGGACTTTGCATACAGTAGCTAAGAGAAACCAAACGCCTCAGTGAAATGGCGAATTTGCTTGGCAGAATTCCAACAAATTCCCATCCACTTGCCCTCTTGAAAATAAAAACAAAATTCAAAACAAATCATACAGCTAGAATTTTGATATCTGAAATATTTTTAAATAAGTTGTCCATAGGACAACTGGCTCAGCTCTCCCTTATAATATCTCCAGGTTTATCTTTTCGCAAAGATGTTGGTTGGTTAAGACTTGCTGCCTCTCCCTCAGGTGCGAGGGTTATTGAGGCTCACAGTTTATCCATCTTCCTCAAAGCATACTGTTCCTTTTCACAGAACCCTGCCCTCTGAGACTGGCTAAAACTCGAAGTCCTCATTGGCCATGTCCATGGCCCAGGCAAACTTCTCCCGCTGGGTTTTGTTGTAAATTTTCTCAATTGGGACTCCCCACTTCTTGCACCTGCAAACAAGGGAGACAAAAAGGAGATTAGTGACTCCAGAGAGTAATGCCTAGACCAGGGGCCTGGGCTTGGATATGCTACCTTTCCTACATTATCTCACTTAATATGGTGCAACAGGCATGTCCTAAGGGGTTTACGCCATCAATTAAATTTTTTTGTGGGGTGGTGGTGGTGCCAGGGATTGAATCCAGGGCCTTGTGCATGCTAGGCAAGCACTCTACCAACTGAGCCACATCCCCAGCTCCAGTTAATTTAATCTTGACAGTGATCTCTAAACTAAGTGTTACTACAGATGTACAGAGAAGAAAACAAGCAGAGGTATTAAGTGATTATGTTCTTAAGCAGCTAGTTACTGATGGAGCTAAAATTTTGGTCCAAGCAGTTTGGCTCCAGAGCCCACCCATTTAATCATTGTACCACACTGTCCTTCAAGAACTACCTCAGCCTCTAGCACCAAAAAGTACAAAGCTGCTGGGCGTGGTGGTGCACACTTGTAATCCCAGTGGCTTGAGGCTCAGGCAAGAAGATCACAAGTTCAAAGCCAGCCTCAGCCACAGCGAGATGCTAAGCAACTCAATGAGACCCTGTCGCTAAATAAAATACAAAATAGAGCTGGGGATGTGGCTCAGTGGTTGAGTGCCCAAGTTCAATCCCGCGTACCCCCCCAAAAGGTACAAAGCTGGGTGGAGCCTCTTCCATTGGGTGTGATAATCACTACCTATGCCCCCCAAAATTCAATAACTCAAGCTTATTAAACATCTTCAAAAATAAGCCACTTTGTTTTGGATATTATATGACAGAGATGAGGTTGGAGGAAGCCACACAACAGAGAACTTATGTGCCTTTGTTGCCTCTGTGTAGGCTGCGCATATCTATATTCTCACTTTTGTTTTTGTCTTGTTTTACCTTCCTTCATTTGCAAAAATTTCACTGACAAGTTCTATTAAAGTGGGGGCTGAGGATGTAGCTTAGTTGGTAGAGTGCTTGCTTGCCTTGCACACACAAGGCCCTGGGTTCAATCCCCAGCACCAAAAAACAAACAAGTTCTATTAAAGTGTAAATGGATTCTATTTTTACTTCAATAAGAGCTATGCTATGGGGTTTTCACTCTTGTACTAAAATTCCTTTAAGGATAGATAGGGATTGCACCCACATTTTTAAAACAAAACATATCCTCTAAGATAATACAATAGGATTGACTTCTTAGGGCAAGCCAGACCTCCCCAGAGGACTAGAAGTGTACTCAGGAATGGAAATAGAGGTCAACATGCTCTTAGAATCTTTCCAGCCTTCTCAAGCCAGGAACAATACAAAGGCTCAATGCTGGACTTGGGTTGTGACTCAGTGGTAGAGCACTTGCCTAGCATGTGTGAGGCACTGGGTTTGATTCTCAGCACTACATGTAAGTAAATAAAGTCTATTCAGAACAACTTTAAAAAAACAAAAAAGCTCAATGCTTACCAAGCCACTGTGATCCTAGGGTCCAGATAATTGAGTTTAGAGGTTCCCAAAGCAATTTGTTTATTCTCTTCTCGCTCTGTGGCCTGAACTTCCAACTTCATCAACTGTTCCTCCAATCTCTGCACAGCCTTCTTCTTTGACTCTACTACCCTGGAAGAATGGCAGAGTTATCAAGAACCGAACCGGGCCTCTGGACAAGAGCATACCACAACCCTATCCTGCCAGACCCAACAAAGGTAGAAACAGGCCCATAAACAGAGGCTGAGGCAGGAGGATCACAAGTTCAAAGCTAGCCTTGGCAACTTATCGAGACTCTTGCCTTAAAATAAATTTTAAAAAGGGTTGGGGATGTGGCTCAGTGGTTAAGTGCCTCTGGATTAAATCCCCAGTACAAACAAAACAAAACCCCTAGAATAGCTGGGGCACCAGGGCCTTAGAGGGATACTACACATTTTTCTCTCAATCAACCCGGACTTGGCACGTTATCAGGTACATACTTCTTGGTCTTTGCATCCTTCATAACTTTGGCATCAGCCTTAGCGCTTTTCAGGTTCCTCCGGGCATCTGCTAACTGGTCCTTCTTGGCATCAATCTAGGCAGGGAAAAACATCAGCAAAGTTAGGAGCAAAATGAGCTAGAGAAGGGAAAAAAGGGTTCATTGAAGAGGGCGAAATCTATAAGTTGCCTCCACAAGGAAGGCTATCTTTTAGGGTTTTTCAGGTAAAAACACTTAAGCAATGGCCTCATGAAGACACAAGGAGACACAGTGACTGCTGAATTCAACTGCTGTTTTTTTCGTTTACATTATCCATTGATTATCCAAGAAATGAAGATTCTTATAGGGCAGTGACCTGGGAATCTGGATACTACTCTAATCAGCGACCCCTAAGGCTTTAGGGGTATGTAGGCTGAAAGGGGAGTCCAGATGGAGCCTGTGCCTGGTTGTAATCTTCATTTCAAGAATACTGTGGGAGAGAAGTACTTAGAATTCTGGGACTGAATACTTGCATCTACTGAGCAAGCCCAACATATTCCTCACATTCTGCCAGCACTCTGGAAAGGAGCTGCCAGCGTCTGAAGAAAAATGATGCACTGAAGAGAATATCCAAGAAACTATGAAATGGCAATTAAAGATGTCCCAAACCAATATAAGACGTGCCTTTGGTATTCTGTTTCAGAAAGGAGAGAAGTCTGAGGTAAGAAGGAAATCAGGGTCAGACTTGGTGGCACACTCCTATAATCCCAGCTACTTGAGAGGCTGAGGCAAGAGGATCACAAGTTTGAGGCCAGCCTCAGAAACTTAATGAGACCCCATGTCAAAATAATTAGAAAGGAATAGGGAGTTGGGATTGTAGCTCAGTGGTTGAGTGCTTGCCTAGCATGTGTGAGGCACTGGGTTAGAGTCTCAGTACCATGTGTAAATAAATAAATATAATAAAAGTCCACTGACTTAAAAAAAAATAAAGTCTGGGGATGTAATTCAGTGTCAGAGCCCCTGGTTCAATTTCTAGTGCCCTGATATCCCCACCAAAAAAGAAGGGAATTAGTTAATCGCTCAAAACAAGAGATGTGGAAACATCTTGGGGAATCCTACAAAGGAAGAGACAGGGGAACCCTGTTTCAACCATTCTTGCTTGTTAGAACATTTCTGAAAAATCTATTTCTCTTAGGGCACTTCTTAGAGATGGCAGCAGCTATCTAGCCATGTGTCTAGAGTTCAAACCAGTGAGTTTGCTCTGGTGGTGTAGGAAACAGAACCTCATCCTTATGATCACCCTGCTAACCTAGAAGGTCAAGAAAACCTCACAAAGTAAATATACACTTGACTAACACATACTAGGTTACTGCTCACTAAGCCTAGAATTCTCAGATACACACACACAGCCCACCCAAGACTAGAAACAGAGGCCACCATTGTGAGATAAAAATTAAGCACGTTTACTATACATGGCTTACTTCCAACAGCTGTTGTCGAAAGCCAAGATGAAGGAACCAATTCTGTATACAAAAGCATCATAGACACCACTAGCCAGATTCTTCTTGGGCTAAAAATGCAGCAAACCACAATCTTAACCATTTCTGAGAATGCTAAATTGGCAGGCTATGTCAAATTCTCTCTAAGCATCAAAGACTCCATTGATTCACTTAGCAAATGGGCGTGTGTTTGCTTTGGGGGCATATATATAGGAGAGGGATTCTGGGCTTGGAGGTCTGGTCTAGCAGGCAGTGTGGGCTGCCCAAATAGTGGTTCCAGAA